TTCTTGGGGTAACAAGGAACAATGGTCACAAACTGACAGAGCAGATTTAGGCTAGATATCAGGAAAAACCTCTTCACAGTAAGGGTGGCCAAAATCTGGAATGGGCTCCCAAGGGAGGCGGTGCTCTCCCCTACCTTGGGGTCTTTAAGAGAAGGCTGGATAAGCACCTGGCTGGGGTCACCTGACCCCAGCACTCTTTCCTGCCTAGGCAGGGGGTTGGACTCGATGATCTGTCAAGGTCTCTTCCAACTCTAGTATCTATGAATCTGTTCCTTAAATTGGGTCTTTAACTCTTCTAGTCTGTGAAGCTGCAATTAAAGTGGATACTACATTGCTCCTTTTTAGAGATTTTATGTTGTCTTACTAGCAATTATAAATTAATCAGGTATTATCAAGTTAAAAAGTGTAATCTGGCTATCAGCTCTGCTTTTCTAGTTGGTTTGTGCAGCCCCAAGTCAGCAAATGGTACAAGGACAAGATCCATCAAAACCAGCATCCAGCTGGGGAACAAAGATACTATAAAAACCGAAGCGAGGGATACTTGCTTAAATCTCTGTCTCATTCAGAACAACAGTGAGAGTATGCAGTTTCAAACACTACTACAACAAGTCACTCTAAAGATCTTTTACAAAGTGATGGAGTTATTAGTGGAAGTGTGGGAAATGTGTAAACAATTGAAACAGACACTACATTTTTAGCAACAGCTTGTCAAGGACCTTTCGCAGTATAACCTAAGCAGGAAGTGTTAAGTTCTAGTCCACATGGGATTCTTACTAGCTAACCCTCGCCCATACGATACTTCATTTTTCCACTTGTGAATAGGTACATAAATGAAGCAACTCCACATGAAAGAGAATGCCAAGAAACAAGTCTTAAACAAAAAGTTTCTTCACAACATATTATTTATGTTACTATTTATTACTATTACATACTATTTATTATCTTTTTCCCAGTTTTTATTGTTAAGTACAAATTCTGGTTAGCAGACTCAGTTACAAGCACAAATTTGAATTTCATATGGCTGGCTTGCAAGGCAATTATGGAAGTGACAGCTTCTTTGTGAAGCAACCAAATTATTTTGCTTTACTCTGAGAATCTTACCTCAGATGTATGAGGTAGCGTAGTAGTCTTTCTTCAGTCTGTTGAATGTTTTCTTTATTGACACTTCTCTTGACTTCTCGTCTTACAGGAACAGAAAATGTCCTTTGCCGTAAGAATGTCTGATGATTGGCTGGCATCTCCCTTAAGTCATAGATCACCACAAACATCTTCACCACAGTCTTATTGGGGTTAAATAAGGTCTAAAAAGGTAAAACAGCTGCTTTAAAAACAGAACTATTTTAGAGAGCAGCTGAGTACAGAGATAGCAAGATATGAAAACTTAATTTTCCAACAAATAATAATGGTTACAGATTCACTAAATGCCCCCTCTGTCCTTTGTCCCATTTTACATAGGACATTCACTCAAAATATATTAAGGCTTAGCTTGTACTTCAGCTACTACCAAAATTAAATGTCCATTTCTTTTCTTTGCATTAAAAAGGTGATCATTAGCACAAATGTAGTACACATTAGTACTTTCATTCTACAACTGTAGCGATTATATTATTTTAAATTAATTTTGGTTCATTTCTGGTATTGGTTCCCAGCTTATACTCTTTTCTGGCTACGTTACCATGCTTCCAGTAATTACAATAAACCACATTCTTATGTTCTAAAACCAAACTGAAAATTTTCAAATTAGTTAATCACTATCCTAAACTGAACTTAAAGAAAGATGCATAGTTTGGTTTTAGTTGTTAGTTGCTTCAGTTTCTAATCTCAGGAGAATAGTAATTCAACATTTAATTTAATAATGAACATTTCAAAAAAATCTAGAATATGTTGCTTAGAAATAACAAGGTTTATGCAAACAATGTGGGGGGGGGGGGAATTTCAGAAGTCACCCATTAGAAATGTTAAAAACTGGACTAGAATTTTTTTCCCCAAGGTGCTAAGCAAAAACTAGCACAAAATTTAGTAATCTAAGCTTAGGCTACTACCAGCAGACTCTCTTGGGATATTTACATTCTAAAACTTAATGCTTTTTGCCAAGAGTTACTAGCACAAACACATTTGTGCAATTAAAACAAGTGTTACAAATTTTTCAACCCAAGCCTCAATTTGATGGGTACCTCTAAGCCAGCTATTTTTTTCCACCAGGAAACTGTGCAGGTGGTTTTGCCTTGCCTATACCTGACATTTGACACTCTTCCAGAAAGATTTAAGGCACAGTGCGAAAGCATGTGCACGAGGACCAATTCACCCTCAAGGACCCCAACTCAGTAACATTAAATAATTTAAAAAACCCCAATCCCTCATTAGCCTTCTTGGTTTAAGTAAAATCACAGTCCCCCACCATCCCAGCGTTTTGCAGCCCTGGGCTGGGCTGGGCTGTGCAGTCTGCTCCAGGGAGCAGGGATGGCCCTGCCCCTCTGCTCTCTAACTCAGCAGTGAGGGCTGGCTGACAAGGAGGTGGGGGGAGCCCAGCTGGGGAGGCAGCCCAGTCTGCAGGAAAAAGGTAGGGGAGGACTGCACCCTCCAGGCAAATTGCCCTTGGGGGCTGGGGCTGGCTCTGTGGCTGCAGGGAGACCTGTGGATGTGGTATACTTTGATTTTAGCAAGGTTTTTGATAGCCTTCCACAATGTTCTTGCAGGCAACCTAAGGGAGGAGGGGCTGGATGAATGGACTGTAAGGTGGATGGAAAACTGGCTGGAGCATTGGACTCAGAGGGTAGTAATCAATGGCTTGATGTCTAGTTGGCAGCT